ACACACACACATTCACATGCATATATATATATATACATATTGGTATAATTTATAATAAACATACATTATCTATAACTCTGGGAATTCGTACACATGGAGTTTTGTGTTTGGGAAAAACAAAAACAAATAGACAAACAAAAACAAAAACACACCAGCGCCTAGCCTAATAACGCCGTTAGAGGGGGAAACACAGAAACCTCTGGCATTGTAGCGAAGACCGTCAATAAACGTTTATGCACCATCGCCAACTCCATAAATTACAGATGTCCAATACAAAAAAAACCAAAAACGGATTGCGCAAATACAGCTTAATATGGAACTGATATTTAAAGCGCTGTTGTGTTTTTACAAAATCAATATATAACTAACATTCCCACAGCGGAGATGGGTTTGCTCATATGCATGTGTAAAATGTCAAACAAACAGGTACAAAATAAAACGTAATCAAGCAGGCTTGGACACATTCCAATCATGGCTGGAGGCCATGGCAGTTCTCAATCAAGTGCAAAATGAAAAATAAATAAATATTGTTTTTAGACATACATCCTCTACGTGGGTTCGGCAATTCCAATTAAAAGGAATTTGGAAAAACATTTGCATTGTTATATATATATATGATGAGTGTGTCTCCATGTATATTTTCCTAACAGTCTCTTCATTCTCTAGAGCCAATTCTGTCGTTTTTCGTTGTTTCTATTTCTCCACGTCTGTTTTCTAGATTACTATTTCTCCACGTCTATTTTCTATATTGCTATTCCCCCGGGTCTATTTTCTATATTGCTATTATTTCTCCACGTCTATTTTCTATATTGCTATTTCTCAGCGTTTATTTTTTTCATTGTTATTCCTTCATGTCTATTTTCTATATTGTTATTTCTCGACGTCTATTTTCTATAATGTTATTTCTCCACGTCTATTTTCTATATTGCTATTTCTCCGTGTCTATTTTCTATATTACTATTCCTCCACGTCTATTTTCTATGTTGCTATTTCTCCACGTCCATTTTCTATATTGCTATTTCTCCGTGTCTATTCTATATTGCTATTCCTCCACGTCTATTTTCTATATTGCTATTTCTCCACGACCATTTTCTATATTGCTATTTCTCCGTGTCTATTTTCTATATTGCTATTCCTCCCATCTATTTTGTATATTGCTATTTCTCCGTTACTATCTTGCTATTTCTCCACGTCTCTTTTCTATATTGCTATTTCTCCGTGACTATTCTATATTGCTATTCCTCCCATCTATTTTGTATATTGCTATTTCTCCGTGTCTATTATCTATATTGCTATTTCTCCACGACCATTTTCTATATTGCTATTTCTCCGTGTCTATCTTGCTATTTCTCCACGTCTATTTTCTATATTGCTATTCCTCCACGTATATTTTCTATATTGTTAATTTTCCACGTCTCTTTTCTATATTGCTAATTCTCCACGTCTTTTTTCCTTATTGCTTTTTCTCCACGTCTATTTTCTATATTGCTATTTCTCCGTGTCTATTTTCTATATTGCTATATCTCAACGTATATTTTCTACATTGTTAATTTTCCACGTCTCTTTTCTATATTGCTAATTCTCCACGTCTTTTTTCCTTATTGCTTTTTCTCCACGTCTATTTTCTATATTGCTATTTCTCCACGACCATTTTCTATATTGCTATTCCTCCACGTCTGTTTTCTATAATGCTATTCCTCTACGTCTATTTTCTATATTGCTATTTCTCCGTGTCTATTTTCTATATTGTTATTTCTCCGTGTCTCTTCTATATTGCTATTCCTCCACGTCTATTTTCTATATTGCTATTTCGCCACGTCTTTTTTCTATATTGCTATTTCTCCGTGTCTATTTTCTATATTGCTATTCCTTCACGTCTATTTTTTATATTGCTATTTCTCCACGTCTATTTTCTATATTGCTATTCCTCCACGTCTAATTTCTATATTGCTATTCCTCCACGTCTATTTTCTAAATTGTTATTTCTCCGTGTCTATTCTATATTGCTATTCCTCCACGTCTATTTTCTATATTGGTATTTCTCCGTGACTATCTTGCTATTTCTCCACGTCTATTTTCTATATTGCTATTCCTCCACGTCCATTTTCTATATTGCTATTTCTCCGTGTCTATTCTCTATATGGCTATTTCTCCGTGTCTATTTTCTATATTGCTATTCCTCCACGTCCATTTTCTATATTGCTATTTCTCCGTGTCTATTTTCTATATTGCCATTCCTCCACGTCTAATTTCTGTAATGCTATTTCTCCGTGTCTATTTTCTATATTGCTATTCCTCCACGTCCATTTTCTATATTGCTATTTCTCCATGTCTCGTTTCTTTAAAGTTATTCCTTCACGTTTTTTTCATATATTGCTTTTCCATCATTTCTTGTTTCTTTAAATGTATTTATTATAGTCACGGTATACCGGCATGTATGTAGTGCAGGTAGTACAGGTGTACTAGTGTCCGGATATGAGGCCAAGGTGACACAGGTAGCTAAAGCCGCGTGAGGCGGGACGGG